ATTTTGAATGAGTATAAAATAATTTCAGACGATTGTGCATCGTTTTGGACAAGTTTGAAGTTTTTGGTAAAATTTCGAGTCATTTCACACAAATTTTGTGTCACTTTGGACAATTAAGTTAATTTTGACAGGTTTAAGGTAAGTTTAAACATATTTCAAGTCATTTTAGACATTTCTGAGATAATTTGAACAGTTAAGTTTTGACAACTTTGAGTCTTTGAGTCCTTCCGGTGAAATTTAAAGTCAGGCTTTTATAATTTAGGACAAATTTCGAGTCATTTCAGACAAATCTGTAGTCACTTTGGACAAGTTTCAAGTCTTTTTTGGACAATTTTGAGTCATTTTAGACAGTTTTGTGTCATTGTGGGAAGGTTTCAAGGAATTCTTTACAAATGTCAAGTCATTTTTCACAGTTTTGCCTCATATCAGACACATTTAGAATCATATTTTAAGTCCAGTCTCGAGTCACTTGTGACAGTCTCGAGTGTTTCAAACGTTTGGAGTATACTTTTGAGAGCAGAGATGAACTCAGTGGTTTTCTTACTCGGGAAGCTTTTGGGGTTCAGGATCTTGTTTTCCACACATTCTTGTCGGCGGCCTGCAGAGGACGACAGCAAAGATGACAAAGTTCAGCTGTAAGGAAACGACCTGTCGAACAGGAATCGGACTCGTGAATCTCACCGTCCCGCTCCACGGCGTCCTCGTACAGCGCCTCCTTCAGGGCGGCCTTGTCCACGCTGTCGCTGTAGTTGTACGGGTTGTACTCTCTGAACCGCGGCCCGGCGAAGGATCGCGGTGACGGAGTGTTGAGCAGCGACGTCTTGTTGTCCAGAGCCGTCCGGCCGCCTTCCACCGCCTCACCGCGAGGGTCGGCGTCCGAGGAGGCCCCAACGCCCGGCTGGAGGACGGCAAGGTTCAGTCAGTCTGGACACGTCTGAAGTACTCGAGTTGTTTTGGTTGGATTATGAGTCAATCTCAACAAGTTTCACATCCAAATCATTTATAACAACTTTATGCCATTTTGGGCAAATTTCAAACCAAGCTAGACTGATTTCAAGTTATTCTGGGAAAGTTTCAAGTCGTTTTGGTCAAAGTGGGAGTCATTCTCAACTAACTTTGAGTACTTTTGCACAGATTTCAAGTAATTTCAGACAAAGTTTGAGCCACTTTGAACAAGTGTGACTTTTTTCAACATACTCTGAGTCATTTTGGAAAACGTTTCAGTCATTCCATCGAAATTTTGAGACCTTTTGCGTCACGCTGGACAAATTTATAATTTTAAGTTTTGGACAGACATGGAGTCATTTTGGACAAGTCTGAGTCATTATGGTCAAACTTTAGGTCACTTTGGACACATTTGTGACGATTAAGACTTTTTCAACACGTTTGGAATCATTTCAGTTGAATTTTTGAGTCATTCTGGGCAAGTTTCAAGCGGTTTTGTTCAGTATGTGAGTAACATTAACATAGCATTGAGTTTCCATGGTCCTCACCATGCCGTCCCTCTTGCCGTCCCGTCTCAGCGGCTCCATCAGGTCTTCTTGGCTGCGGAAGCTGAAGTTCTGGATGGCCTCGGTGACGCCTCTCAGCGAGCTGTAGATCTCCTCCGAGTTCAGGTTCTCGCTGTCGTACTCCAGCAGGCTGCGGCGGGACAACGAGCAAACGTCAGAGTTTGATGAAAGGAAAAAGCTTGACTGGAGCCAGAGTCTCCCTGATCCAGTCTGATCGGTCTGCACCACTTCACGTTTCACTGGACGCTGGTGAACGATGGGTTTCCCAGACATGGACCAAACTCTAACCGTGCACATGTTTAGGAACGTCTTGGTTCAAACTCTCCGCATTTCAACGAGAAGAGAAACTGCATGTTTTCAGTCAGTCCGTCTAAATATGTTCTTGGACAAGTTTCAAGTCATTTTGGTCAGATTTTGAGTCGTTATAGACAGATCTGGACTTATTCTGGACAATCTTGAGCCATTGTTGGCAATTTTCAAGTAACTTTGTGCAATTCTGTACCGTTTTGGACAAGTTTCAAGCCACTGTGGACCATTTTTAGTCATTTTTGACACATTTGTAATCATTTTGGACTAATTTAGATTCATGTTGCACAAGTCTCAAGTCATTTTGGATAAATTTCAAGCCACTTTGGACATTTTTTAATAATTTTGGACAAGTTTCAAGTCATTTTGGATAAATTTCAAGCCACTTTGGACATTTTTTAATAATTTTGGACAAGTTTCAAGTCATTTTGGATAAATTTCAAGCCACTTTGGACATTTTTTAATAATTTTGGACAAGTTTCAAGTCATTTTGGTGAGCTTTTGAGTCATTCTTGACAGATATTGACTCATTTTGGACCATCTTGGAGCATTCTGGGTAAATTTGAAGTTATGTTGGGCTGGTCTTACCCAAAAAACACAAATCCAGGACATCAATACCACCCTGGTTTGAAATTTTTGCCCTTACTTCCATTTTTATGGGCCAAAACTTATTCATATTGTAATTTTAGAAAATTTTGAGCCATGTTGGAAAGCTTTTAAGTCATTTTGGGTGAAATTTTAAATCAATTTGGACAAATTTTGAGTCATTCTTGACAGATATTGACTTATTCTGGACAATCTTGAGCCATTCTGGGCACTTTTCAAGTAATTTTGGACCATTTTTAGTCTAAAACATACCGTGGTCAGTAAATGTGGATAAAAAGCAGAAAACATCTGCAAAGAGCAGGCGAGGGTTTGTCCATGACCAGGAAGCCAGCAGCGCTGCAGTCAGTGTTTCATGGATTAAAGCAGCGACGTCGGTGAAAACAGACGAGTCGAGCGGAAACACATTTTTCTCACCTGCTGGATTCAGTGAAGCAGAAACAGACAACAAACGGATGGAGGACGATTGAAGCAGCGAAGCAGACGTGGACGTGAGCGGGTCGCAGGTTTCAGGGCTTCACAGCGAAACAAGTTGAACTCAAACTTCAGCTCTCAGACAGGAGGCGAGCGTTTGTCTTTGACTTCTGCACAGTGAGCAGCACACGTCTCTGTTTGGCAGCAGACTCAGTGCTGCTGCTCCACTGTGTCACATTCTGGTCGCTTCTTGGTGTTTAGGACGCAAAACGAAGCTCTGCTGAATTCACTTCATTCGTTTTCAGATCTGCAAATTTTCTATTTTTACCCTAAAAACCTTGGAAGCCATTTTAACGGTTCAATATCTCCACAAAAATCTAACTTCCACAGTCATGTTGGACCAACTTTGGATTATTTTGAGTCATTTCAGCCAATTTATGGTCACGTTTGACACATTTCTAATAGTTCTGGACAGGTTCTGGGTCATTTTGGACAATTTTGCATAATTTTGGACAACTTTCAAGTAACTGTGGACAAGTTTGCACTTTCTTCAATTTCGCAAACATGCTTTAGTAATTTCTGGCTATTTTTAGCAATTTTTAAAACAAGTTTAAAGTCATTTTGGTCAAATTAAGAGTCACTCTGGACAATTTTGAGTAATTTTGGACAGATTTTCAGTCATTTCAGCCAATTTACAGTCACGTTTGACACATCTCTAGTAAGTTTGGATAAATTTTAAGTCATTCTAGACAAATTTCAAATCATTTTGAACAGCTTTATGTTGTGCGTCATCTTAAACGTCTCAACACAGAAGAGCAGAACGAGGACGACACGAGCATCCTGGTCTGAAATCTGAAACCCTCAAAATGTTTGACAGGTTTTTTAGCTCCAATGAACTCATCAGTGAAGAGTCGGTGCAGCGACGTGACCCCTGAATGGACTGTGAAGCCCTGCTGGAGGAGGAGCAGGAGGAGCAGGAGGGTTACCTGGGGGAGGAAGCTGGCCTCAGGGCCTGGAGGGAGCAGTGGGCAGAGGGTGGAGGTAGAGGGGAGGGGAAGGGCGGAGGAGGCAGCCTGGAGAGGCCGTCCGAGCTCCAACCCCACAGCCGACTGCAGCCGACGGGGAACAAGGAGGAGCACGGTTCTGGTCAGTGTTAGCATCGTTAGCATTGTTAGCATCATCATCAGCAGCAGCAGTGTGAAAGTCTGCAGCCAGTCGTAAACCAGCTGGTGGTCCGGAGAAGGTTCCCGCCACGCTGAACCCGTCCAGAACCACTCCGGACAGATATCGGGTCACTTACGACACGTTTCAAGTCATTCTGAGTAAAATTTTGGACACTTCTGGGTCGTTTTGGGTGAAATTTTAAGTCACTTTGGACAAATCTGTGGACAAGTTTCAGGTTCGTTCATTTACAGTTTCTCATGTTGTGACTTTGAACAAACGCGTCACATCGTTTTCCACAATTCTGAGTAATTCTGGACAAATTTCACGTCATTTTTTTTGAGTTCTGAGTTATTCTGGGCTAGTTTTAGTCATTTCGGACTATTTTTATTCATTTTTTTAGAAGTTTGACATAGTTTTGATAAAATTAATTGTCACTCTGGACAAGTTTGAGAAGTTTTGGACAGATTTCAAGTCGTCTTTGTCAAACTTTCAGTTACTTTGGACAAAGTTTTAGTCATTTCTCACAATTTTTTTGTCATTTTGGACGAGTGTCAACCCAAAAAATCTCAAACCTGGAGCCCTGGTTGACCATACTTGATTATTTTATTATCATTTATTATTATTATTGTAAATAAAAGACTAAATCTAATCTCATACCAAGTTAATCAAACTGTCCACCTACTGAAGAGCTGTTTTATCATGATTATGTCTTCACGGCAGTAAAGCTGAATTTTTATGGACGTGTCAGTTGAAGACTGATGTGAAACTGAAGCGAAGTGAACAAACAGAAGTGTTTTTAGATTCAGACTGCAAGCTGTGTTTTCCTCTTTTCTCTGTTTGGGGCCAAAGTCGACGCTGAAATGTGGAGAAATCCTTTGAAACTGTTCGTTTGGCGTCAGATCAACAGAAATAGTGCCAAACATCACGTTTGAGTCCGAGTTGTGACCGGGGGAGGATTTAACCCTTCAGACGCTCTAATCTGCTCACTGGTCGGTTCACGGAGCTTGAAGTAAAACCTGCTGAATGATTGTGGAGATGAAGGCAATGAGCTGCTGCAATTTTATCAGTGTGGATAAAATCAACCGGGGAAAGACGTCGGCTTCCTGTTCTGACGCCTGTTCTATGGAGTCGTGCAGCGGATGCATATGCAGGTGAAGGAGCCGTACCTGGGTGACAGGGAGCAGTTGGTGGGCGACGTCAGCGGACTGCTGCGACTGCTGGGCTGCCGAGGAGGCGTCCGGCCGGCCGAGCTGCTGGGAGACGCCTGAATGTCCAGAAAACACAGACGGCCGCTTTAAAGACTCCAAAGAAGGGCAGCTAAACACAGTCTACATTCCAGAAGAGTTTTACGGTGCATCTGCTTCACTCATCTATTCTGGGATCATGTAAAACACAGAAAACTGGGAAAAATGGCAAAGTTCATACACGCAAACAACAAATGTGACTCCGGTGATGTTTGCTCGCTGTGTAGGAAATAAAAGAAATAAAGTAGAACCATAAAAATGAGAGTCAGCGTTAAACATGCTGTCACCGTCGATTAATCAGCTGTTGTCTCAGCTGATCAGTTTATCAACGTCGTGTTTTGTTAAAGTTTACCGTCACAGAGGAGGAAAGAAAATGTTCACAATGAAGAAGCTGAAAAATTTGGACTTTTGTTTCCTCAGAAAATAACTAAAATCTATAAATGTATTGGTCGATGACTAATCGATTAATCCACGCAGCAGAATTGATAAATGTCCTGATTTATTCACAACCTCAAAAGAAACCGACAATAAAGACCTTTAACGAGGTGAAATCAGATGATTTCAGGGTAGAACCTCTAGAAATGAGTGAACCCAGTCAGCCGGCGGGTCATCAGTGAGCGACCACTGATGGAGTCATCACACAGCATGAAGGCTTACTGCAGCGCTCTCCGTTTCACTTTAGGCCACCAGTACCACCAGTA